CTGTTAATGGGGATTTTTTTCCTGTCCAGGAAAAGCGTCACAAGTGGATGACTTGCAGAACTGAAAGACAGTTAACATGTCTAACTCTAGACAGCCTGTCGGCGTAGTCTACCTCACACTTTTAAAGCTATAACGTCTGTAACACCGGCGTAAATACACTAGTACTGTAATTTAGCTGTAATTTAACTGATAAATAAAAGTTTACATAAAGTCTATCTCTCTAATAGCCCGCATTAAAAAGGAAGTTGACAGTCAATGTCAGATAGTTTGTCTACTCTTTTCTAGAGAGAAATACTCTATTTACCTGTTGACCGGAATGCATCACCTCCATTTCCATCATTATGGAGCTCTGTCGTGAGGTTTTGAGGGAAAAAAAACTCCGTATGATTGAAAAATTTGTGAGTTATTCCTTATATTGGATATAAAAATGGCGAGCGGTCTGGAGGCGATATAGTCCGTCACGGGAGCTGAGCGGCTAGAAGTGCTGCTTCCTCCAAACCTAATGAGCATTACGGAAATGATGGCCCTCCCCACCGGGATCGTCCCCCTCGCAGCGGCCTATGAGGGCTGGAGATAAGGACTGTGTGTGCGTGCGCATGGAGTACATTTAACACAATAGTTGCCACGCAAAAAAATTACACAACATATTTATGTGTAAGTTAAACATTTTATAATACATTAACCATTACGTAATTTGCAACATGTTATATCGTTCGTTTATAGACAGCTTTATGTATGCCAGCTCATAAAAGAAATGTGTACCTTGTATTTTAACTTCGTCACTGATGTGACCAGACTTTGTTTGGTGCATACCTCCCCCTGCTGGTGACCGTGACCAGCGTGGAGCTGGAGACCCTGGGGCCCTGATGTTCCTTGTGCAGCTGGGTAGACCATCACAAAATCATAAAGAGAGAAACAGAACACCCACCTATATGTGGTAAAAGTCCCAATGCAGAATGATTCCTGTTAGTTTATATGTTTTTGTTTGTTTATTGGCTTGTTTGTTTTTGGAGGGGAGGTAGGTGCATAAGAGATACTAGTTCAAATGGGTGGAACTGTTACTAACATCTTTTGGGAGGAGGTTGGGGTGTGGGAGTCAGACTCTGCCATAATTCACTGGGTGCTCTAATTGGAAAATCTTCATCTGTCAAGTAATGAATCATTACAGTGGGTTAACTAAATGTGCTACAAGCTAAATTATTCCCTGTTACACTATTTCTCATAAAATTAAACAAAACTGAAGTAATGATCTAAAACGTGTAAGTGAGGAATCTCAAAGATTTGCAGATCTGTAATTCCTTTCCATTATCAACATATATGTTTGTATTACGTAGTGTAGAAAAAATATATTAAAGTTTTAACCATTATAATGCACAAAAGGCTATTCTTCGAAACTGGTACATATATGAAGGTACTGTAGTGTGTAGGGTGTAGAAAAATTGTTTAGGTTATGTTAATAGTTTTATTGTTTAGGCAAAATTTGCTAAGCTTACCGAAATACTGCACATTTCAGTACATTTTGTAAGTAAATATGCAGTTTTTTACTCCATTTATGGGGCACTTATCATATGGTTAGTAAATGTATAGAATATAGTGCAATAATTTTAATGCATTTTATGCTATTTAATACTTATTCAATAGATAGATAGATAGATAGATAGATAGATAGATAGATAGATAGATAGATAGATAGATAGATAGATAGATAGATAGATAGATAGATAGATAGATAGATAGATAGATAGAAACTAGTTAATCAATAGTAGTAATAATATAATATTCTAAAGCATAAGGATATTGGATCACTCTAGCTGTGTTTTATAGCTGCTTTTTATTAAGGTACAGTCTAATGATTTCTTTCACCACATGTGCTGTAGATTATTAACATTAATAATTAACATTAATAACAACATCAAACATTGATCCACCTTGACAAACTAGAACATTAAAATGCTATTTTAACAGTAAAGCATATCCATTAACAAGTTAAGAGTATGAAAGAGGACATTCTCCATAAGCACTACTTTTCATTCAGCTAAATGTTATTGGTAATTCCTCGGACCTTTCCAAAAATTGGAATGTGGGTTATGATTTATTATTACTTTCCCACTTCCTAAGTAGGCTAAAGGATGTAAATCTTCAATCCACACTGGTGGAGAGCACAGGTATGCAATAAACGTTGTAGCAGTCGATCTAAGATTCGCCTATTTAAGAACATTAAGAGGAAGATAACCCAAAGAAAAACCCTCATTCTTAATCACATTTGAATCATTCTGAAACCTCGGCGTTAGTAAGAATTCGAAACCGAGGTGCCATTAAGTGGCTTTTCAGATATGCCCGCGTAATAAGACAGACTTGTTCCTGGTTGTAGCACCCATCTGTGAAGAGTCTCGCACTAAAGTGCAGCTCGCTGTGCCACTACGTGAAATTACACTAAAAAAGCCTATTTTTGCCTCTCGTGCGCGCTCCTGAATACGCGTTCACGTTTGGCAGCTCCACGTCGACATTCTTCCAGCTGCATATAGTGAACTGCACAGCACTGGGGGAAGAAAAGGTAAAAGCGGCGGCGGCCACCTTACGATTAGAGCGCTGCAAGTTCGCCGATGGACATCAACTGCAGTGAAAACAGGCGTTTGCAATGTGAATCTATCCGTGGCGTGCAAAGTCCTCAGCCCGCTTTCATCTTTTGCATTTTATGATCTAGACTGTTTTCCCCTCGTGTTGGATTGCAGCTGGTCCCTTGTGTCTACCTATATCAGGTACAGTATGACTTGCAAAGCTCACTTTGCCTTTAAAATCGTACTTCTTAAAGAAATAATCGTTAAGATTCCGGTTGGCACGTTGCAGTGTTGATTTTGAACGTTATTTCTGCACTTCTGAAGTTGCTGTCATTTGGTTGCTGATGAAGTGCCAAGTTTCCAACTACATTCAAACTGATAGAACTCAATACTCCTGGAGCTCAGCTGGCCTTCTGAACTTCCCTCATTGCTATCATATCACTCTTTAGTAAATGGGTTATTCTCAAGAGACTGTTTAATTCAGAAAGTTGTTAAAGCTCAACAGGTAGACTCATTTATACCCGGTGGTACTTGAAGTGGAGTAATCCTTTCAAAAAGGTATCAGCAACAGTGTAAAACTTAAAATATGCCAGCCAGCGTAGATGCAAAATGTAACCTTTGCAAGCAACCAGATGGGCAAGACTAAAGAGGTAAGTAAATACACTCAAGAACCATTTCTGAGGAGGTTGCACTGCAGGATCAACTTTTGCACACACCCAAATATTATTTAGGTCTTTAATCATTTCTGTATTGCTAACAGCGTGTAAAAAGACACCACCTGGCCTGCTATATACCTGTGTGGCTCTAGGGAGGAACCACCAAACAGCTCGCCTTTCTTTAGGCCCGTCCTTAACGCATTTAGATCTTAGCTCTGCTATTTTGAGCTGTTTTCTGTTATATATTTTTCAGTGCAGTCAGTATAGTGAAAATAAAAAAGATAATACAACATGGCTGTCCTGTTTTCCCTTGCTTTTGTGCCTTGCTGCAGGTTGAAGGAGCACCCAGTTATGAGGAGGATAAGGTTCCACACAAGGACAAACCTATGAGGTGGCACTGTGGCTTTCCAAATAAAGTTCTGTGATACACTTAGACTCTAACTGCCCGCAGTCAGTGCATTACAGAACTTTGTTTTGGAAGCTAATACTTTAACCTTTTGGAAATAAAACCTCAAACATCTGGACATTTTAGTTTATAGAACGTCTTATTGTTTCTGTTGGCAAATGTTGTGTAAAATAAAGTTTCTATTTTAAGATTTTTTTACAGTCTCTTTCCTTCAGTACTTTAATCCTAATTGATATGTACTTCACAATAATGTTGCTTGTGGTGTATTCGTTTCGTGTCAAATCATTAGTTTAAAAGCAGCCATGTGGACCATATGGAAGCGCTAGTCACGCTGGTCAGGTGATCGAGTGGAGGTGAAGCAGAAAGGTAAACAGCGTTGACTGTTTCAAGTTACTCTGTTTTTACAACCACATCAAAAAAAAGTGCACACATGAGACAGGTGATGATGCAGCCACAGTAAAGGGAAATCATTACAGATGTACAGATGTTCTAGGATTAGTTTAAATCTTTAGATTTGGATTCGTCTTACATATACCTGGCTAAAACTAAGACAATTAAAAAATTCTGATACTTAACTTACAGGTTTGCTGAATTGCATGTTTCCACTGTTCACTTTCATGCATTTGTTTGAAAATGGTGTTTAATGTAGGGTATAAGTGCTTCTTCATAAACCCGATAAACTCTTTAATATTCCAAACAGAAGGGTTACAGTTGTTTTATATAATTAACTAATTGCATTTACTATCTCAGCCACAAACTGTATACTCAGCCATATAAAAGATGCCTCAGCAGTAAGTGTAACATAGGGAACCAGCCCTTTACAGTCTACGCTAATGTTGCAATGCATGCTGGGAAACGAGTTAAATGGTGCATTCAAACACTTCTCGGTAACTCCTTTCAGAATGAGGTGGGAGCTTTGCATTGATGTCAACGGTTCGTTTAAAGGTTGATGGATAAAATAAATAAATCAAATGTTTTATTCATTTATTTATAGTATGAACCTTATGGAGATTGTTAGGCACAAGTGCAATGCTTATCGCCTAGAATCGTGAACAGTTTTCTTTTCTTGGGTCCTAAGATGTGGAAAATCCTTAATCCAAGTTCCAAAAGCTAAACGTGTTATTAAAATCTATAAAAACGCAAAATGCTTATACTTGGGAAGCTAGAACCAGTCCATGTTTAAATAACTTCACAATAACCTTAAAGAATGCGCTGACCTATGCTTTTCTTAATCGACTTACCGTTTTCATGCATAAACTAGCCCTGTGTCTAATAACAAATTAATTTACCCAAAATAACAACATTTATTTTGTATTGTATGCTTTAAAATCCTAATTTTTACATTTAACACTCGCGTGTGGGGTTTGTTATTTCCTACAGGTATTGAATGTGCCACACTTTCCCTGCTCTGACCTCTGACAGGAGCTCGCGGATCTGCTCCCTCCTGTACAAACACGGAAGCAGCATGGCGTCCAACAGCAGCGGCAGCGATAGCTCTGACAGGCAACGCATTGCACAGCAAAGACTGAGTGTAATTGCCGGACATTTACAGAGACCGGTGGAGGGTAACTCGGGCATCCTAGCCGCGGAGTGCAAAGCCCAGGGAGACAAGCTAGATGTCTCCAGCGAGCGGAGGACTGTGCCGAGGAGGAGGTACGAGGCTGTGATGGAGCGGTGGACGAGGGGGGCTTATCCGCTGTGGTTTTGGCTACTTCTTAAGTCAAACTTAAGTGCATTACCAGCTAAACATGAGACATTTGGGTGGCGTGCAGCGGTAGGCTGGTTGCTGTCTCCCCACTAGACATAGATGTCTGTTAGAAACGTAGCTGAAGCGGAGTTTGGTTAGCTTCATAGCTAACGTTTCTAGGCTACAGAGCAGCCATTCATTTGCTAAGGGGTGGGTGCGGCTAAGTGTAGGAGGAAGAAGTCGACTTTCTTAAAGTTTGCCAGCTGTAACTTTCATCCACTCTCGAAGTACATTCTTTTATTTGTTATGTAACTATGTTTCTTTTCAGTGAAGTCCTTAGTGTTTGATTAATCCGATTTGATATTCATTAACTGTTACTGAGCTGTCCGATTTAGTGGGGTTGATAAGCGGTTCTCCTTTTTTGGAGTTGACCCGTTAGCAGGTTCACCAAAATTTTGTCTCTTGTGAGAAGACATCTTGGGTAAAATAGTAAAGCAGCCTGTAGCTAAAGTGTAACAACAGTCAGAGGAGACAGAGAAACTTCTGTCTCTTCCGTTTCTCTGATTGGTCAGGACAAGTGGTGGTCTGACTTTCAACCTATTAGCAGCCTAGTGCCTTTTGAGGAACCCCCACCAGAGCACTGACATCTAGTGTCTGTGGCAGATAACAACAGCTAACACAATCGGCAAAAGTATGTGCATCTGGCCTTGTAATGCGTGCCCCTTTCAGGCCAGTATGACACAGTGATAATGCGGCTAAATATTATGTCTTATACCCCTGTCTGCTATACTTGTGATAGTTTGATAGTTGAGGAAATGCAAAGCAAAAACAGTTACACAGCCACTAGCTATCTGCCAAACTTATAATTCAAAGAATCAATTGACAATGTGAGACTAAACTAGTTATATGGTGTTAGAGAATTTCTGTTTCAGTGGTATAACTACACTTCTTTCATTCAGTCCTGTTAGTGTCTCATTTAGAGTGAGGCAGCTTATCTTGTAATTTAAAGACACTACAGCATTACAAATGGAAGCCGCAGGGACTCTCTTATCAGCAATTACTTGGTAAGACTAGGGAAAGAATTTCCTTGTGGTGAGAGGAAACCAAAGCGAGATGCCAAACACGTAATACAAGAAACACTTGGAAGGTTGGTTAGTCCCCATAGACTGGAAACATACAGTTCCAGAGCCAGAGGTGCTTAAAGATGATGAAGTACAAACTGTGGCGGATATGGTATTTGAAAATGTTTTGCATCACCCCTTTTTGCTATATTTTGCTAGGCAAATATGAAATTGGTAAAGGAATTTATCGAGACATGTACAAACATACATGCAAATACAGTATATAAGTCAAAAACAGTTTGTACATTTCTAACAGCTTGAAAATCAATATTTGGTATGACCACCTTTATTCTTCAACAGACCTTAACCTCTCTTATTTAGCACTTCTTGTCATTTCTTTTAGTAGTCTTTGGGAATAGTTCTTCAGGCTTCTTGAAGGAAATTTAGAGCTTTTTGTTTGGTTTTTTTTGATGATGGCGACCTTTTGTTCAGCCATCATCTATTTTCTATCAAGTTGTTCCCACAACGCTTCAGTAATGTTGTGCTCTGGGGGGCCCAATCCATGCCTGATAGTTTTGCATTGTGTATTTGTTCTATCCAGATATATAAGGTGTGCTTTTACTGCTTTGGCAGTGTGTTTAGAATGATTGTCATGCTGAAAAATAAAGTTGTTGTCAATCAGATGCTTTCCAGATGGTATTTCTTGGTAGATCACAGTTTTGACAACACCACTGGCTTAAATGTAGTTCCAAACATGACAGAATCTTAACCATGCTTTACAGATAGCTGTATATTGTTATACACCTCTCCCGACCTTCTCTGTACTATTGATAACAATTTAAACCAAAAACCTCACATTTGTAACCATCACTCACTGAGACCTGTAGCCCTTGATTTTCAGCCCAGTTCTGGTGTATTTTGGCATACCTCAGTCTTTTTTTTCACACTTTCCCTTCTTTAAGAATGGCTTCTTGACAGCCACACTTCCACTGAGACCCTTTCAAATGAGGCTTCAGTGAACAATAGATGGATGAACTGAAGGGCCAGGTACATCTCTCAGGTCCTTTGCTAGGTCCTTTCTGGATTTTTTTCCCCCAGTTTCTCAAGGACATCACTTTTTTATACTGTTTATCTGGTAAAGATATCTTTTTTTTGTCCTCGACTTTTTCCTCCAGTTTACTTTTTAAGGTTAGGTGCCAAGTTTTTGTGTAATAGCTGGTTGGGAATCACTGTGTTGCTGCAAAAAATACAATTTAAATTTTTAAATAATTATGTGTTTCTGTGAGAGGCTGCTACTAAGTTTTTTGGTAAGTTTTTTAAGGACCTATATAAATACAAGTTGTTATTATTAGTATGCTTATTTTTTATTATTAAAAGTTTTTAATAATAGAATTTCAAAATTGATTGTTAACTTAGTTGATTAGGCAGCCTTTTATCCTTAAATGATTCATAGGTCAGTTTTATCGTGTAAGATAACGTTATCTCACTTTCTTTTGTTACAAAATAAGATTGTCAGGCATACCAACAGTAAAACCTGCTCTAAATGTTGCCACAAGATTGAGTCAGTCTTTGAATCGGGTTAAGCAATTACCTGCAGTATCATTTTTTTCCTCCCTCCCCCAATGTTAAGTGGATTAACAAACAGAAAAAAATTCCTCTGAATATGCTCAGGTTCAAGAACTGGGCTGAAAATGAGTGAAAAACAGCCAATACCCAAAGAAAACTTTAAAAGACTTTTAGAAGTCTGAAGAACTATTGCTTAAAATCAGTTAAAAATACAAAGGTCTTGCTCTTTGGATGCTAAATATAAAGAAATAATTGGCAACTCAAGACTTTTTGCACAGTAATGTTGATGGCATCTAATAGTAACCTATAAATGAATGGAAAATGAAAGCGAAAGAGGAGAGTAGGGAAAGGTACCTAATGCCTCACGGCAGGAATCCAGCAGCCTGAGCACATACCAGCATAACTGGTGGGGTTGTTAGGGTCACCTGATCCAATCATAATTGTAAGTTTTATTAAAAACGAAATGTAAGATTCATTGAAAGATGTGATTATATCCTGTTCATTCGGGGCTTTGTGTGTGATGGGAAGCATTTTAGCTTCTGTTTTAAAAAGCATGTTTAAGCAAGAATCTTGATGTACAGGTTGTGTGTTCTCCTAAAGCGGCAGTTGACAAGATGTTGTGTCATCACACATATAGTAATCTTTCCGTGAGAGTGAAGTAGATTTCTGTCACGCCTTTGGGCTTTGTTTGCTAGGTACTAGAAAGTAGTACGAAGAGCAAAAGTCATGCAGGAAACGGGCTGAGCAAACAGCTTTTACTTGTGGAAGGCATTTTTCAGTCAAAGCATGCCTCATTCACTACGACCATCACATTAACTAGATTGCATCATTTTAAGGCAACTTTACTTTTTATGGATCAGAAATGTTTGCACCGATTTGCTTCTCTATCTGTACAACAAATGGCGTCATCTATCTTTAGACCAGGTTTTGATTAGAAAGAAACACTTGGAAAAAATCTTTAAGGGAGGATAAAAGAAGAAACTTTTAGAAGTACAGCTTCCAGGATGGACAGGAATGTAACAGATGTTGTGTGGAGACAGAGTTGGGGTGCACACAGACTATGTCCACCCAAGCAACCCTGCCCCACAATTTAGGAATCCTTAATAGCCGGAAAGAGAGTTTCTGTTTTTTGGTACCTGTACTTTAATAATAATGATAATAAGAATGGATTGCATTTATATAGCATTTTTCTAGGCACCCACTATTCATTCACTCTCACATTCACACACTTTGTAGCCACAGCTGCCCTGGGGCAGACTGACAGAAGCGAGGCTGCCATATCGCGCCATCGGCCCCTCTGGTCAACACCAGTAGGCGGTAGGGTAGAGTGTGTTGCCCAAGGACACAACGACCAGGACAGAGAGAGCAGGGGGATCGAACCGGCGACCTTCCGGTTACAGATGAGCTTCCCAATCCCATGAGCCAAGGTCGCCCCTATGAAAGTTAGTAGTCTGTACTTACTGGCTTACTGCCAAACACAATGCCCAGCTATGGAGACAGTTTTATTTCGCATGTACAGCAGCTATTACACTCCATCAGTGGTGGTGAGGATTCAATAAAGTATGACTTAGTGTGTCACTCCTGCTCGTAATTTAGAGAAAACCCCATTTTGGCATGTGTTAATCTTAATAATGGCTTTTATGCCAACAGTAGCATGCCATCCCAAGTGACCCGTGATTATTGATCTGTACATGGTTGTACAGCTGTCTTTCTTTAAGAAGTACAGCACACTAGCATTGTACAGTACAGTCATAAGGCGGTAAAGCCAGCATTTGTATTTTGATATCTCAGAACAGTAACAGAATAGTGACAGTTGTTGAAATTTACATCTTTGCAAAGCAAGCACAGCCACGTAGTATCTGTTGGCTAGTTCCCAACTTGGTTCCTGTTTGTACAGTGGAAAACACAAAGCGTAGTTGGTGTCTACGTGCCATTTTTGTTAAGTGTAGCCTGGAAGTTCAGCACACACATTTAAGTCTAATCCTAAAAAGCTGAGGAGTGTTAAAAGTAGCCGTTGAAAAATGTCTGATTGGTGCCATAAATGTAAAATATCTAATGTATTAAATGGAGCTCAAGGACTGTATGCTCACTTCTTCTGTGGATGGACAAGTTGTTTGAATGTGTTGCCTTTGCAATACTAAAAGAGCCATGTGTTTGCTAACCTGTGGGCAAAGCATTTGGGTGTGCCTGTCTGCAGCCTCCCATTTTGTAAATTTGCCACTTCATAGCCACCTCAGGTTAATGGAAAAGCTGGGAATGGCTTAATAAGATTAAGGGATATTCTATATGTCTGGCTTTTCAGATAACATCATGAGATTGTCAGGAAGGATGCTGAGCCAGTATCTAGCCCAGAGGGACTGGGATGGCAAATTAACCAGGGCACCACACCCTGGAATAATCCCCACATGTTCTATTGTAATTTTGAGTGATAATCTGCCCAAGTCCTAACTTGTACCTAAATTCATTTTTTTCACAGACAGGAGATTATGAAATGGAATGGCTGGGGATACAGCGATTCAAAATTCCTGTACAACAAGAAAGGCCAAGCAGAATTTACTGGAAAAAGGTAAAGTATGAGAAAGCAGCCAGCACTCTTAGGTAAAGCTTATTCTTATCTGTTGGTGGTCATTACTTGGTCTCATCCACTCCCTCTAATCTAGTGTTAGCCACTGTGTTGAGCTTTAGCATTCATTCTGTTTGTGTAACTTGAGGCTGCAGCTTTGCATTGATCTTTTTTTTTTTTTTTTTTTACAGCCCACTACTTGAACCCAGCCTTTGAAAATCAGTCGCTGTCTCTGTGCTTGCTGTGTGCTCACAACAATGTGGTGCTACTGCCACCTAGTGGTTGGCATTTAAACTGTTTATTGTCATCTGAGAAGGTCACTGGTTGTGATTTTCAGCACTCAGGTGCCCATTAGCAGAAACAACTCACCAATTTCTTAAAAATACAAGATGAATATTATGCTGGCAGTCATGTGTCTGATGGTAAATGCAAATGTAGGTGTAAGAAAAAACGTACTTTTAATTGCTGCAGATTCCCAGAAACAACTGTTACTCAGTTCCTCTGCATATCCTTTATCCATGCCTGCCACGACAAGAGCAAAGGTGTAGGTGGGTCTTGTTTCCGTAATCATCACAGACAGCTCTGGGAGAGGTAGCTGTGCTTGTGAGACAATCAAAACAGAGAACTGGCACAGTATGTACGAGCACGTATTATCAAGCAAATTGTTTCCTCCTGTGTAAGCACTTACCATAAAGCCCTCAGGGCTTTCCATGCCCTACCAACAAAAAAAGCTATCTGGGTGTTGTATATCAGCTGAAGCAAGGGTGACGTCCTCCTTGGCTCGCTTGCTGCATGAGGGTTTTTTTTTTCCTCACTTAAATACTGCATATATTTTACAAAGGTACACCATAGTCCCCGGATGGGCCCAATCTGTGACACCAGCACAATTATGAAAGTGATGGTAAAGGAAAAGCAATAACAGCACTGTCACTGCTGCTCTGCTTGTCTAATAACCTCACTGGACTCAGATCTCATACTGTATTCTTATTAGCCACAGGTCTGGTTCTCCAAATGAATTTGCCCAGTCAAGCATGGAGATATTTTCAGTTTCAGAGTTTCACTTCTGCTGCATTGAAGCTAATACATGAGACTCGGTTGATTATTTTTAATTGGTAATTCAAACTTTCTTTCCTCTTTTACACAATCCAGGTATAGGCTGAGCGGTATGATCATCCCCGGCCTCAGAGAGTGGATGGAAAGCACGTTCGGTGCCAATCTGCAGCACAAAACTCCAGCAGCAGTGAGTAACAGCTCCTGTTTATTTGTTGCGACTTCGATGAATGGCATTGTGCAGAAGCCATAACCGCTGTGGTTTGTTTTGTTTAAGCCAATTCTGAATAGCAGTGCTGTCCAGCCTCCCACTCTAAACGAGGCCTTCTTGAAGGAGCTAAAGTCCACAGGCATTCCCTTCTCTCATGACGCTGAAGACCGGGTTTTTCGCTCTCATGGTAAGGCAGAAAAAAGTCTTTTAATGTCTGTGAATTGTAATTTAATTTGCAACATTTTTTTCATTTGTTATGAAAATATTTTTAAAATGGTGACGTAATTTCATTTTAAAATTTTTTTCCAGGCCATTGCTTACACGAGATCTTTGCTTTGAGAGAGGGGAAAATTGGCCGTGTTCCAGATTTGGTTGTATGGCCAAGTGAGTTCAGAAGCTATGCTGTCACTGTTAAACATGTGTATATATAATTTCTTTCCACTGTGTGTCTGCTTTTCTCCTCCTACATAGCATAACTGATCCCTCCTACTGGCTTAGGTGATTTAAAGGGTTAATCTCTGCAGCGGCAGGGATATTAATATGTATGAGTAGAAGCTTAATAAGAAGCGTCAGGGGGAGGACGGTTGACACCCAATACTCCACAGTCTGGCCCTGCATAGTACACTCATGAATTATGATTCTGAGATTGGTTTTCTCTTGTTATGGCTAGCACTATTTTATCATGCAAATAAATGTTGACTGATGGTTGAAACTTGATTAGCAGCCTCCCAAATGGGAAGCGAATCACCAGGCAACTGTAGGCACATTCTCATCCACAGTGGCTAATCCCAAGTTTTAACTTTTCCAACCGTACAAATGCACTCTCATCTACTAAATGTGCAGTAGATGTTTTGAGCTATAATTGCCATTCCTCGGTAGCCTCTACAAGTGAATTTTAAGTGGATGTTTAGTTTGTGGAGCTGTAATCCTTTGGCCTACGCTATGTGTTTAATTGGATGCCCAAATGCAGTAGAATGTAAGCATTTCTCACTGCCTCTTAAAAGCTCTCGAGGCCAGTCAAGCACATCCATGTACTTTGGTATTGCTGTTCATCCCACTCACTCACTGCCCCAGTGTATGGGCTCTGATTGGTTAAAATACATCTGTATTGATCTAGCATGTCCCACCCAAGAGAGTGTAGCTTCATGCAGTTTGACTCAGCCTGAGGAAAGCCCGAGGCAAATCAAAGGATGCCCTGTCTCCCCGCTGCCCCCCCCCCCCCCCCCCCCCCCCCCCCGCTCTAAAGGTTCACGAAATATACATTTTTACGTTGTCAGTGGTATGCAGATAGTGTTATGTGCCATCATTTTTTCCCTTTCCAGTGTGTGCATGCTTTTTTTAAAAATATTATTTTATGAATATTTAATATATAAACATTGTAGCAGATGGTAAAAGAGTTATGTTTCAAAAAGACAAAACAATCTTCTATGTTTTTTGCAGACTGTCACAATGATGTAGTGAAAATTGTGGAGCTCGCATGCAAACACAACGTTTGTTTGATGCCATATGGAGGTGAGCTATGAAATCAAAGGCGTTAATCTACATAATTAGCTTTTATGTAAAATTACTATGGGGCTCTAGTTTATTTGCATTTCGCAACTTGTAACATATAGTGTAATTTCATCCATCAGTTATCTGTTTTTTATGTGGGTGGGTGAGGGCTTAGTGAAAGCTTTATTATCTATATTATAGATGCTGCTGTTAAAAGTAGAGCAGTGGACACTGCACTAATTGTGGTGGTTACAACCATAGGAAATGATTGTAACTTTTTTGTTTGTTTTCTTCTGTCAGTCACTACTAAAAAATGTCATGCTAATAATATGGGAGAAATAAATCTTACGTATTGTTAGTTTTATTGCAGTTTGCGAACAGGTTCGTGACAATCATATCAATAAAAGTCAGTCATTCATTACTGCAGTGAAATCCTGAAGTGTGCAGACGTGCCATAAGAAAAAATTATATATTGCACCTCAAGGATGAGCTATTCAGATGGTGCTTTTCCTCCTGTAACGTGTCAAAATGACTGCTGTGAAAAGGAGTTTTATTGTAACAGTGGTTTTTATTATCTCTTAGGAGGGACTAGTGTCTCTAGTGCCCTCGAGTGCCCCCCAGAGGAAACTCGTTCCATCGTGTCGTTGGATACCTCACAGATGGTACGTAAACACCTGCGCGATCAGCGTTAAGGACAACTAAACTAAAATCAATCTATCTGATCTTTAAAGTTACAACAATAATCTGAAAAGAGACTGAGAGAGAGTCAGGCTGGATCAGTATACTTATTCATAGACACCAGGCCATAAGCTGAAATGGATATTAAGATTAATATTCAACGTGTTGTTTTCTGTGTCTATTGTTGATATCTCTTCAGGTTTGGATTACTAAAAAAAATGTGTCAAGTAAAATTGTGTTTTTGGCAAAACATGATTGTAGTAATAGTACATGTACATTATTTGGGCTCAGGAATTCCTTCTTTTTATCAGCTGATAACAGCCAAGTAATAGTGGAAACTGTTAGTGTGTGCTACAAGCTATTGCATTATGAGACTGAGTGTTTCCAGTGTTCTTTTTTCCCATATACATCTTTTTTTTTCAGTAACATGAGTGCAGCCAGAGTTAGAATTGGTAAATTAGTTGTGTGGATAGGGACAAAACCACCAGCCATTAATCTCAATACAATCCCAAACAAGTCCCCATAAACATGATAATCTTTTATCGGATACAATATAAAGTGGTGAAAATTGTCACTGTACAGTAAAGCCCTTTGATCCATGCTCACCCAGAGGTGATATGCAAGCTGTCTACAAGCTCCTAGCTCACCACTCATTGAGTTTGCTGCCACTGACATCAGTGACCAGCGTTCTGTGTCAGGGATCAGAGGTCAGGTGTCTCCAGCTGAACCACATGAAAGGAGCAATGTAGTAGGAACGTAACGTTTATTAGCTCTGGGGACTAATTTATGACCTCCTATAGGTAGGGCTAAGCCTTTGGGAAACTGACAGTTGTCTCCCATCCTTGTCTGCACACATTCGTCCTCAGACGTTTTGATGAAAAACATACCGTGTTGTAAGCAAACTGTGAAGAGACTGTCTCCACAGCCTGCTCTTGAGTGCAATGTTTATGTCTGAGTCTGAGATATTTTAAGTCAACATAACAGATGTAGGCAGAGCTCAGATGACAGACATGGCGATATACAATATGTGTTTGAAAGCAGCCATTTTACACAAAGGAAACAGCTTTAAAAAAACATTTCTCCCAAAAAACTTTGTGAAATATAAAATGTATGTTTATGACGTCCTCAGACATGTTGTTTGTTTGTCACAGAACCGCATTCTGTGGATTGACGAGAAAAATTTAACTGCCCATGTGGAAGCTGGCATTGTCGGTCAGGATCTAGAGAGATTGGTAAGTACTGCTCGCCCATCCATTTTAATTCACCGAAAGAGCTTACGTTAATATAAAGCGTTGTGCCAACAATCAAGCTGTGCGCCTGTTCCCTAGGAGGCTGTCTGTGCTCATTCACCTTGGTACTCTTTGCTCAGTAGATCTAACAGGGTGCAGGAAGGAGTTTGCGGTAGGAGCAGAGCGCTGAAGGGGAGAGATTAGAGTCTGAGACGGTGGTCATGAGCAGATGGCACCATCAAGCTAATTCAGAAAAATGGAGAAGGAGCAGGCGTTTGATGTAGAGGAATGCGTGAGCTGCATTTAAAGCAGACTCCACCTCTGCATTTAGACTGGGCCGATTTCATAGAGCAGATGGGTCTGCATTATAAACTGCCTTCCAGAGGAATGCTGTGATAAAACAAGGCTTGACTTTACCCTTGTGCTTCTGGGGAGCATTGTTGTTGTACTTTAAGATCTTAATTATTATTACTGTTGAATGTTCCGCCTAAAGATGCAATCTTTCAGTGCTACGTCTGCCTTAAGGAGAATGTGTGGGCTCCCAATGACCTACACATTCTCCTCAAAGCCTTGGGGATAGTGAATCTGATGAATAGATTTCTCAGAAGTACATTGTTATTACTGCATGGCAAGGAACAAAGCCATACAGTGTGTTTTCTGTTCTTTTTTTCTTTGTGGAAGAGGAATGTGTAAGCAGTCTTGCCTGCATAACTCATACACTTAAATAAATATGTAAAACTTACTATTATTTTAGTTTTACTAACAAAGGCTTGTGTGTGCTGGATGTATCAAGTTTACAGGCATTATTTTGCACATGACAGCAGAGCTGCTGTCAGACTAAAAAGAGAGTCTTTCCACTTGGTTTATTTTGGGCCATTATAAAACCACCAATGCCATAAAACCGCCGTTTTTACATTGCGGTATAACTAGAGCAGTGACATGCAGCAGCAGAGGTGCAATTATATTTTCCCTTTGCTTGCGCATTCTCTTCGCTTGTTATTAAAACATTCTCGTGGGTTTACGACATCATTGTTTACCACACATTTCTGGCTCCCTTTTAAGTTAAAAACAAACATGTTTTTTTTATATTTTTCCATTTTATTGCAGCTTAATGAGAGCGGCTACTGTACAGGACACGAGCCTGACTCCATGGAGTTCAGCTCCCTGGGGGGCTGGGTAGCAACCAGAGCATCAGGTATGAAGAAGAACATCTATGGCAACATTGAGGACCTGGTGAGTGCGCAGAAACCTGTAGAAAGAAAATTATTACATTAGGTTTTGTGGGCTTCACGTCTTTAAGTTTGGGCAGGTGTTGTTTGGTTCTAAAGCTGCTTTATCGCTGTGTTCTCACTGAATAGGTTGTCCACATAAAGATGGTTACCCCACAAGGTGTGATTGAAAAGAGCTGTCAGGGACCTCGCATGTCCACGGGGCCGGATGTTCACCACTTCATCATGGGCTCGGAAGGTTAGATGACTTTCTCACGTTATTCCAGTTCAGGAGTGCATGTGGGCGTGTGTGCAGTTGTGTAAACATGCATGTCAATGTGGGTTTGTGTGCGTGTCTTTGAAACCTCTGTGATAAAACGGTAACATCAGGATGATTCTCATGCTCTCCGCTTCTTACACATTTACTAGCATTGGTGGAAATGTGATCTGGAGAGGTGTTAGTTAGGAACCAGCAAGTGTCCTCTGCTCCCCATCTGCACTGTCCTGTCCTTGTGAATGCCCACAGAGAATACTGCCATATGTCAGGTTTCCCCTGCATAATGAAGAGGTTCAGAGACTCTTGGCATCGTTATGTTAAACAGCTGTGGATACAAACTTTTTATTTGCCCTACAAAGCTCAGCAATCTGCTCCTCGACTGGGCTGGGACTGCTACAGAAGTCTCTATTTGCGTTCAGCGAAACTGATCTCAGCAACAGTATCATACCAAGAAACAGGGTTTGAAGGTTGGAAGTTGTGTCCTGACCGCGCAGATTAACTGTGAGAGGTCATGTTTTGACTGACAGTTGCCATATATGGGTAGTTTCAAATTAAGCTAGCCACATGTATTTTTACTCTTTATGACTCAGCCACCACAGAATTAAAGATCTTCTCCAAAGAATTTTGCTCTGCCTTAAATACGTTTGGCACTTTACACTTCATGGCTTGAACATGATTCTGCACTAGTAGACTGTAGGGTGCTCGGGACAGCCCTGCAGAAAAACTTTTGTTGTGAGATGACTGCAGTGTCCAAAGTATTTGGTACAAATGATCTGTGGGCTCTCAGTTAGGTTGTTGATGGTCCTTCAGCCAGATGCAGAGTAGTTATAACATACTAATACACATAAGTTACAACATACAAAGAGCTGAAGTGAAACCGAGCAGATCTTGGATGTTTGGTTATGCTTCTCCCATTCCTGGTGAACTCCTGTGAAAAGCCTGTGGCTCCCTTCCCTGTTTCAGCCCACTTGTCAGCCAATCAGCATTCGACCTACGCATAGCTGAGCTCTGCACTGTTGGGTTGTTGGATGCATGGGAGCATTTTTGCATAGGCTGAAAACCCATCTCCTCATAAGCTCTCCGTGGGCAAATACCTACAGAAGTACACAATGACCAAATCCAAGAATTCCTTTCCCAAAGGATGAATTTCTAAAAGATACTTGCAATGGGTTCCCTATTATTTATGCACTATGAACCCTTAGAGCCAGACTGTTTTATCTGCAAATACTATTGGCTTACAATAGCTATTTGTTGATCTGTCCATATCTGCATTTACATCATCCAATAAATTTAAATTTAAAAAGTAAAGAAGAGTTGGTAGGAACACAGTTCAACCATGTAATGAGTGTTACATCTTTTGTCCACTAAAGGGCATTCTGCAACTTCCCTGCAACGTGTTGGAACATCACAAACACATCGAGCTGATCCAACTAAGTGAACAACTACACATAAGCAGATTTCCATAACATCAGTTATATTTCATGTATCTGAAAGAAAACCTCAGCTGATTTGTAAAATATTGGAAATTTAAATCACCAAATATCAGTATCAATATCAGTCTTAAAAATCCTGTATCGGATTAAATATCATGTTACAATCAATATCAGAATAGTGTTTGTCTTGCTTACTGGCCAGTTATACAGCCAGCAATACATGGTGCATTGTCCTATGTAGTGTGTGTGTGTGTGTGTGTGTGTGTGTGTGTGTGCGTGTGTGTGTGTAAAGCAACTCTTGCATCTTGATGGCATCCAAAAAATGTTACGTTTGTGAAACAGTGGACTTGAGAACAACAAGCCTAGTTTGCTGCTTTTTCTGGATATGAGTCTATAAAAGATAATCAATTACTGAAAGTGAAAATAATAGCAGTCTACTTGTAATACATAGCTAGATATTGCTTACTCATGTACTCACTCACATGGTACAAATATTTTGAATATTGAATAATCTAATATCACAGTAGCACATTTTTTCTAACATGCTTCATATCTTCAAAACCCAAGCTTAGAGAAGGAGCTTTTTTGCAATTACGGTGAGTGAAATTGAAGATGCTCTTGCTTGTGTGGTTGCTACACTGAGCAGAGATAGGACAGGACCACACCTCAGTGGTAGAGCATGTTGTTCTGGGAGGCCTAACTCTTTTGCTAAGAGGTCACACCAGCACACAGTCTCATTAAAATTATCTACCTCCTCACCGAAAGAATCCCATCCTGGTGTCTGACAGTAGGCCACAACAACAGCAAAGCGCCACGCTAAAACCCTCAACTATGCTCTGCATGTTAAGTGGAACGCATCCATTTCATTAGAAATTACTGTGAAACCTCAGACTTCTTATTCTCTGCACAACAACGGGTCTGTGTATCTCTCTGACCTTGAAGTAACCTGAATGCAAAGTAGTTCTTCCCCCTTGCTACAGCCAGTGTAAACAATGATTGGAATGATCAATGCTAATCCTTTTCTCTTTTAAACTCCCCTCAACCATGCAGAAAATACGATATGAAACCAACTAACGCTAACCTAATGTTGAGAGTTAAATGATTGATTTAAAGCAGTGGTTGCACAATGGTCAGTGGCTTTTTTGGTCAAAATATTTGCTGCTAAAAACGCTCTTCATTGTGAATATTCCCTTTCCGCAAATACTTAGCCTTTAAGATGAGGTTAGTCTAATAGCAAGAGTTCCAGTAAAGTTAGCTTAAGCTGCACTCAGTATTTCATTGCATCTGACCCGAGAGAGTTTTTCCAGCATTGCTGTTCTTATTGCCTCCATTTAGCCCTCACCCTGGCTCCTCCTACAGTCTTTCTTTCTCTCCTTCTCTAGATCCCCACCCCTCTCTCATTAAGTGGCTTCTCCTGCATGCTATCAGGAGGGGGAGAAAAAACCCTTCTTGGGGTGAGGCCCAATGCAGTCACGTTTTCCAGTGTGCCACTAGGGAGCAGCATGTGGCATACAGTGTCACATTAGAGGCCTCATTAACAACCATAACAGGCTGATGAAGCCTCCTGATGGACTGTGTTCATGGGGGATACATTTATAAATGAACGTGATCTATAATGATACAGAGTGCACAGGGTGCAAGAAAGCAATTTGGATCATAGCAATAAAATTCACAAACTAGCTCTAATAGCTGTTGTTCATTGTTGAGTGTGTGGAGAAAGTGTAAAAATGGCAATTACGTGTTGTGCAAACCCATCAGATATTCTCTTTTGTTGTCCAAAACCCTTAAAATGTTTGTACAGTTCACTTTAAGAATAGATGTTTTTAAACTGTGCTTGTGTTCTTGTAGAAAAAGCAATGTTTTAATTTTTTTTCACTCATTGTAGTTTTCATTTTTCATCTGATAACAAAAGAAAGCATTTTGATTAGCCACATCTTTTTCAGAAAAGTCATCTGAAAGCAAGTGCTCAAAGATTGAGCTTAATTCAATTTTTTTATGAGAAGAGATGGCAAACATCCTTTGCTACCCATAGTTTACTTTCAAATAAACATTGGGTATATTTGAACCAAGTGGTGTGAGGATTTCAGCAGCAGCAGCAGGTAATTGTTGAAAGCTTCCAGGTCATGAGGTCAGCCACAGGTTTCCTTCTACCTTGTGTGCGTGTTGCTGTTGTTGGTCTTGGTGCCTTTGATATACCCCTGCTTTACTTCCTGGTGTTCTTAAGCTGATAAATCTCAGTTATCCCCCAGTGTGTGGTAGAAAACCAGATCTGCTAAGTGAAATGTGAGACAAAGGTCACCAGAACAACCCCTGTACAGAGCCCTGTAAAACAGTCTTGAGTTCCGCTTAAAGCGGGTTAGGTCATATAAACTCTGGGAACTGATGTACGTACTTTTGTTCTGCTCAAAATCTCTCACTGTGATTTTTCACAGGAACCCTGGGCGTGGTTACTGAGGTTACAATGAAGATTCGTCCCATGCCGGAGTACCAAAAATACGGCTCTGTGGTGTTCCCTAATTTCGAGATGGGAGTTGCCTGTCTTCGAGAGGTTGCCAGACAGGTAACAGGTTAATCTCCCCTTCAGCATGTTGTGCTCTGTTGCTTCATAAAGCCATGTCTCAACATGAGATGGAGGCTAGAAAGTTACTGTGTTTGAGGTATGCACAAAATAAGCACTTTCAGGTCTTCGTTTTACCTCCTTTAAAGCTAACCTGGCAGAAGAAAGCAGGGAAAAACTGATTTATAGACCAACTTGCAAAGGCATCTGACGTCGTCAGACCTCATTTGGCCTGAAGTGCTGTCTCAGAGAGTCTGTATACTGTACATTTAGGACAAATAAACAAAAGCTATAAAGTCAAAGCTCTTTATTGTTGTTCATTCGACTAATTCGGGCCAACTTCTTTTCCCTGCAGAGGTGTGCCCCAGCTTCTATACGACTCATGGATAATGAACAATTTAAATTTGGTAAGTTTTATTTGGAGTTCACATTTAAGCCCATCTCAGTTATCACCTCTTTATGTGTCTATATGACTTTCATTTAATCTACAAATTCTCAACATTAGCTTTTCCCATTACAAGTAGGACTTAATTTGGCTAGATTTTTGTTTTTTGTTTTTCCAGGCCCCAATAAAACCTTTGGCTTTGATCAGAGAGCTTTGCAACATGAGCCACATGATGTGGTTTAATCATTTCTTTAGTTTCTCCCATTTTATTTTGTTTGGTGTTCCACCTAACCATGAACGGCACTTGTGCAGCAGTCAATGATGTCACAACGGTCCATGCCACTGAATCGTTAAATTGATTATTATTTTTGCAACCGAATATCTGCGCGCGCACACACACAAACACACAGTTTGAAGCACGATGAAAAATAAACCCGACCAGAATTAAGTCATTATTGCACTGAAGTTTTATGATGTTGTTTCTTCGGGTCCAGTGGAATGCATCTGGCATTCCCAGAGATCGCTGCAAAGTTCCCCAGTCTCGTGGGATCTCATTATCTTCCCTGTATTTCCACTTTTCACAGAGTAGGCACTTCCTAGCCTTACACAGGGAAGACAAAGTGACCAGGATCTTTTTTTCTTTTTCTTTTTCTTTTGGGAGGGGGGATAAAAACTAAAACTCATGGCACTATGATGCATTCATGGATTTAGTAACTTGTCCTTACTTTTTAATAATGATTACTGTGGAGAAAGTTTGTGTACTGTATAAAAGGGTTGGGGGTTTTTTTTTAGTTTGAGACTACACAAACAATTTAGCTCTACCTGTATTAATATATAAAAATAAGGATTTTGTATAAAGGAAAGATAATATAAACATATGAACATATCATTTTTGTTCATTGTATTAGCAATTTTTTCTCTCTGGATTTTGAGTATTTAATTAACGAGTATGATGGCTGTGAGGGACCTTAAGACCCACAATCACAGTTTGGAATGGAAACAATTAGGACACTAAGTGATGAAGAGACTTGAGCATAGGGGGAAATAAATGAACTGTTAAGTCTCGGCGACATCACCCATGACTTCCCTGCTGTGATTGATAACCATCCCATTGGCCCCAGCCCCTCATTTTCCCTTGTCCACAGGCGCTTTTGTGCGTCCGATCAGGAATAAATCAAAAAGGGTGGCTGAGGAAGACGGATATCACTGTGTCAACCCCACTTCCCTTCGGAAACTCTCTGATTTATAGTCGCTGTCGCTCGCAGCCACTGGCCAGTTGTGAAGTTATTCAAATGTTACCATTTATTTCTTCTTCTTTTGTTTGCAATTCCAAATATATCAGAGTTGCTTTGCTCTCTCAGAACACTGGAGGATGCAAGCAGAAGCAGAGTTTGCCTAATTTGTGGGAAATTTTGTTTTATTTACTTTAGGGCTTCTTTTAGGTGAATTAACTGAACGGATTTTAATCTGATATTTAACAGGTCATGCCCTGAAGCCTCAAGTATCTTCAATTTTCACTTCCTTTTTGGACGGGTTGAAGAAATTTTACATCACCAAGGTAAAAAATAACCAGGGGTGAACACTGTAAGGTTCTTGCTGCAGGTGTTTTACATGAAAAATGAGCCTACCTCTTTAATTCTCAGTTCAAAGGGTTTGACCCCAACCGCCTGTGTGTGGCCACCCTGCTGTTTGAGGGAGACCGCGAGAAGGTCCTGCAGCATGAAAAGCAGGTTTATGACATCGCTGCAAAATTTGGGTGAGTAGTGGCTGCTGAGTTTGGTATTTTTACATCTTTCTTCTATATCTCTATATTGTTGGATCATTTAAAGATCAGAAAGGTTAGAAATGTGCCATAAGGTGAGGCTTTATACACAGTGGTGGCGCTGCTTTCAAGCAGCCTTGGAGTAGCAGTGATAAGAATTGAGAAGCACAGTTACACACTTAAGATTTGTTCTTCGACTCAGTAGCTTGTCTCGATGTGGATTGATGGATCACCTCTGGATGTCCTCCTGTCAGGCTAGCTTTAATGTTAAAGTAGGTGTGAGGTGGGCAGAGATAGTAGGGCACAGCTCCCCTTAGGACAGCACAGGGCCACAAGACACAGCTGGGGAGTGTTTGGCTCTTGTGATTGATCATGAAACACATCAATAAGGACTTTCTTGGAAATCTGTTACCAGCCAGCCAGAGAGGAAACCTCCTTCATCCAGAACCATTTTTAAGCCCTCAAAAAAGAATATTCAGTTCATTTGCCATCTGTGTAATTGTTATGAAAATAATTACTTTTATTTATTGGTGAATTGTAATTGGTAAACGGTAAAAGGTTTTTGGAAACCTAATATGAATATATCTGTGTAGAAATCTCATATAAACATTTCTCATCTATAACTAACTCCAAATAATCCTGATGCACAGTTTCCTCAGACATTTTTGTCTGTTCCCATTATTTTGCACAGCCACATAAGAACACAAAACCTCGGTCCTAATTTACTCAGATCCAAAATCTTCCACACACAACAAAAGAAAGAAAGAAAGCTTTAAAGTTCAAAGATGGATTTTTATGGTAAACTGGACATTTAAAAAACTGCAGAAACATATGAATGGATAAAGATATCAACCTTTCATCTCAGGTAGACCACAAATGTGATATGTTTGGTCTGAAAACTGGCTGCAAGGATTTGTACAAGATTTGCACCATCATGAGTCATGACATAGCCAATGCATAAATGTGTTAGTCATTCATTAAAGTGGTTGTGGCAGTAACCTTTACGTTTGCAGATATTTCACATCTATGTGAAGCGTTTGTAAATCTATAGATCTCAAGTGTTCATACAGTTGCTACCAAAACGGACTGTTTGATCAGTATTTGATTGTACATGCCATACATTATATTCATTAAGTCTTATTTGACACCATTGTAGCATTTCATGTTTGCTTCTATTTTAGGATCTTGCTGAGGTTCAAACAATGGTTTTGTGATAGAAAGGGGTTAAGCCATACCAGCCAAAACCTGTCAGATGCAACATAGTCTTAATAATTGCATTATTTTCATTAAATGGCCATCACCCATCAGCTCAAGTGCCGGTGATGGATTGCTTAGGTGTGGTGAGGAACGTTTCCTGCAGTGATGGGAAACAGGAAGAAGGGTGAAAATCAATATAGTGATTTTCTAATGAGCTTGGCCTGATTAGTTTGGATGGTAGATGAAAATGTGATTACCCACCGCAGGTGATAGATGTGTGGCTGACCTATGGCGATGCAAGGAGCATAGCGCCATTGATCTGTACATTGTTGCACTGACAGCCTCCAAGACAGCGGTTGTGAGAGGGAGCAGCCGGAGCAACAAAGCTGAAGAAAAGATCTGTTAAATATTAACCCTGATGTCTCCTCGCAGGGGCCTGGCAGCTGGAGAGGACAATGGGCAGAGGGGCTACATGTTGACCTTTGTCATCGCTTACCTCCGGGTGGGTCACTTCTCTGGCTTTTTCCCTGCCTGAGCTGATGGGCAGGTGGGGCAGGCAGGGAGATTGCAATTTGACAGCGGAGAGGATAGCGAGCAGCAATGAAAGCAGCGGAATATGACCTCGGGAGGGCTTTGATTTGATCTGGTCGCAGTTGTTGTCAAGGCATTGAACAGCAGTAGAAGAGCACAGTAAATGCAGACAGAATGACAATAGAAAGTTGACTCAGGTCATCCCTGTTAGAAACCTTTCTGATAATCATCAACAAGCAGGGTGTTTAAATATACTTAAGCAGGTCATCAACAGCTTTCTGCTTTTTAGTTTTTTGTTTTTTTTTATCTCAGTTGTCAAAAGTCCTTCCTCAGTGGCTCCATATTGTAGATGTTTACACATTCGCCCAACAAGCAATAATCCCGATTTCAATCCCAGGAGGAGCCACAAACCCTTTTGGGGTTGCATCGGAAAGGGCATCCAGAATTTAAAGCCCTTTTCAATAAAGCGACAGCTTCTATTCAAAAATGCCTTTTTGCAATACAGGTCTGAAAATGTCTCGTTGAGATGTCTACTAGTACTACTAGTTATTTATGTAGTCATTCTTTATATTCTAGTTTTATGATAGTGGTTTGTTCTGTTGAATGTAAGCCGGTGGTAAAACATCACAAAAAAGCCCAAGATAATGTCTTTGTTTTATCGGTACAGAGAAGAGAAGCTGCTTTCATTTCTCTTTTTTTCCTTTAAAAAAGAAAGTTGTGCATTGCCTTTAAAAAAAAAAAAATCGATCGAATGTCACCCAGCTCATAAAAATAAGAAGCTGTGGTTTCAAAATAAGATCACAAGCTTGGAGGATTTCTGCATACGCTTGATTTACAGGGTTACCACAGTTCTCATAAAATGTGCTGAATCACATTAACATATAAGCCTGCTTATATATGTGCATTTCATTCCAACCAGGACTTGGGAATGGACTACTATGTGATTGGCGAGTCCTTTGAAACCTCTGTGCCTTGGGACAGGTAAATACATTGATTCACTCGCCTCCTGCAGAGTCTGCCCTGAGCGTCCTAATCCTGTTTTTCCCTTCCTTTCGTTTATTTCTCCTTGCCTCTGTCTTTCACATTCACCTTCATGCCTGCCTTCTCCCCTCATTAAATGACCCTGCGTTGGTGGAGCTTTTCCTCCTCAGCATACAAACGTACCACTACTGACATACTCACACACCCACACACATACATAGAGGGGAGAGGTGTGTGAGTGTCCTCTGTATGTGTACCATGTACTATGAGTCACAGGCTCATCTCACACCCATGTACTGTGATCTGCATTTTCTACATGTTTTCATTGTCCTGCTTTCTCACACAACAAACAGGAGCACATGCAGGCTCCTTGTTGTGTAACATGCCTGATGGGGAGAGACCAAGAGATCAGGCAGTGAGGCGAGCATATGTGCCTGGCTCATTACCCAGCCTCCTCCCCATCCTCCACACTCCACGCACGACTGCAGATGCTTAGGACTGGCGGCCATTTCCACACCAGTGGGAATCTCTCCCACAATGGTCTTCATGTTAGTCAGTCTGGTCTCTACCTCCTGCCTGGTCTCTTGCCTTTCTTTAATGTTTTTGGTCTGTCTTTCTTTTATTATTTATATTTTTGCAGTGCTTGGTTTTAAATACACATTGTTGTCATGTTTTAAACACACAAATATCAGCTTAAACTCCTATTAATTTTCTTGTCTTTTCTTTCTTTCTTTTTTAGGGTTTTGGACATTTGCAGAAATGTAAAAGCGCGCATTGTGCGAGAGTGTAAAGACAAAGGAGTTCAGTTTCCACCATTATCCACATGCAGGTAATATTTAAAAACAGTTTCCAAAAGACTGAGCCTGTACAAGCGCTCTGCCAGTCTCCTCACCATATTTTAATGTTTAACACTAGTGCAGAAACGACACCTACAGTATAGATTTCATATTGTTCTTCCCATGAAAAGAACACAACAATGCACTGTGTGTTCTAATTTGTCCAAAGGCTATTAAAAATATGACACTCTCAATCAGGTCACACATATGTAACGAGCTCAGGTAACTTATTAAACAAGCAGGGCAGTGTAGTTTTTAGCAAATGATACTCAAGGATTAAATGGTTTTCTTGTTGGATGCTATTTTAAACTGAGGAATAAGATGTAGTTGTTTGTCACAGTTTGTAACAGTTTTTGAATTGTTTAAATTTTACAAATATAAATGCTTGTGAAAAAAATAATAAACATCATGCTGTGATAAAATATCATCACATCAATCCTTTAAATGACATCTATACACAAATAATCAAGAGCATTCCCCAAATGAAATATTTTGAAGAAGTCGGTCCAAATTAGAAACAAATGAAAAGCAAAGAAAAAATAGAATGACTATCAGTTGCTAACTTTTATTGTTTGACAGCAAATGGCATTCAATCCTAAAGATACATTTCAGTTATAACCTTGGAAGTACTGAGGTGCATACCAAGTGTGACCCCTGTTGAGTTTGCAAGAGCCACGGAGACAATGCGGTCGGACGTTGTGATAGACAGACGGCGAGCTGGTTGAGGAGCACCAGGCTGCTGCTCACAGATTGCGGACAGATTAGGCCTCAGCCTGATTATGCTACAGCCATTCATTTCCCGGCTGCAGTCTGTCACATGATTGATTTGTCCATTTAACCTCCAGAACAGTGAGTGTGCCAGGTGATGGGCCATGTCAAATGAACAAGGGCCCAGCACCCTGCTCCTCCAGAGGGAGCAAGGCCAGAGAGAGAACATGTAAACGGGAAAAGCAGCATTATATTCTCAACACAAAGGTTGTTACACAATATGTTCGAAAACCTGAGCGTAAGCTGCATTTAGTGGTGTGGGGAAAACACAAATATTATGATGTCAGTTGAATCACCCTGCCTGCATCATACCTGAGGAGTAAATGTGGCTCAGATGATTCAGTAAAAGGATTTGATCGCCATTTATTATGTGATAATGTTGTGTTATTAAAGGCGATAGTGCTTCCACGCTGCCTCCGCTTTCTGCTAACCATGAATGGAATTGAGGTCAGAGGTTCGCTGGGGAAAACCAAACCTCCCACTGCACTTTGTCTTCCGATTCCAATAGAAAAGAATCATTTATTGTATGTAAAATGGAGCAACTTGTCAAAAAACTCCTCCTTCACATGCATGTAAATTGGATTTTCTGAGAGACGGTGGAAAGAGAAAGATTAAGGTTTTTTCCGCTCGTTTGAACGTGTTTCTTTTTCGTGCAGGGTGACTCAGACGTATGATGCCGGTGCCTGTGTCTACTTTTACTTTGCTTTCAACTACAGAGGACTCAGTGATCCAGTGCATGTGTATGAACAAGTGGAGGTAGATCCAGTTTTATTTTTCTGCACATTATGCCAAAAACTGTTAAATAAAATTAGAGCAAATTGCATCTGATGTGATAACATGTTGAAACGCCAACACCCATCAGAACAGATGTCAGAATATAACATTATATAATGTATAAACTGAGTGTTGTTTTGTTTTTTTCCCCTCTTCACAGCATGCAGCTAGAGAGGAGATCCTTGCCAATGGAGGGAGCTTGTCACATCACCATGGAGGTACCCAGAGCTGAGAATTTTGTGCTTAAAATGTAGAGCCTGTTTTCACAAACTGCAGAAAGCAAGTGCATATAAATCACCAAAAAAGCACAGTGATGTTATATTTGGAGATTCTCATGTTTCAGTTGGCCAGGAAAAAAAAAAAGTTTTGTACTGAATTGCGATGACAGCATGGCGAGCCTACCCGGCGTGCTCTTCCACGCTGGCAGCCAGTCGTGCTGTAAATGTGCATTTGGTCGTGGATCTTTCATCGCTTCCTTCACATTTCCAAAATCTGTTCCCACAGCTCAGATGAATGACTCTGACTCGGCTATTTGTTCATTTCAGCAGTGACCAAATGAAACGTGAGCAGGGGAGGGCGGCGAAACAACTCTCCTGGCCCCATCAGGGCTAACCGAAACGGCTGCCTTATCTATATTGCCATCCGCCTCGCTGTTTTCATACATCACTTGAGGCTATTCATCACACCTGTCAAAAACAGTATGTAGTGAATCAGCTGCGATATTAAATCACAATTTTTCCTGAAGGCGGGGACGGGTTCAAAATTAAAAGATTGCTAATAAAAAGGAGGCAGCGGGCCGGGGTAAATGATGCCGCCGTTATCGCCGGCTGTACACTGACCTCCAAACGGTGGCCCGGCCACCCCGAGCGGCACGGGGAGGTGACGCTGGGGAGAGGGGGGTGGGATATTGATGCAGCTACCGTGTGCGAGGCCCATTCTGTAATTGTGATTAATAACAGCGGGGCTCGCTATCTGGGTGCAGACAGGACGGTTTGTCTGCCCACAATCAGCGCTTGACAAATGGAGCTAGTTTCCCTGGGTTTTGTGTATCAAACAAAACAGATGTAGTCAAGGATGGTGAGGTGGGAGGCCAGTGGAGAAAATATACATTTTTGTGGCCCTGTATTTACAGCAGGTCAGCACGGTGCTGCGTGGGCATACGAAAGGGAATCTCTGCATGCAGAGCGCTTCGACCCCTTTCACTACAGGACGTAATACTCACCTAACAGCACTGTGTGTCAGCTGCTGTCCAGGGGAAAACCATTTTTCATGAAAAAGGAGTCAGTTTTAACAAACTGGCTTTAAAAAACCCCAAAACAAACATGTTAAATGTTTAAATATTGGCCAGTGCTTAAAAACAGAACACCAGGAGAAATGTCCTCTTTAACTAGGTCACCAGTGTCGCAGCAGTGAAGAGTTGTCGGAACATCCATCACCAGGAGAATCATCCATCTATCAACCCTGCACCGCAACTCCTCAACCAATACTCCAGCTTGGTCATATCAGAGGAATGCATGGCCACTGCCTTACCCTGTCTGTCATGTCCTGACCCCCATTTGTTAGAGAAACCCCAGGAGAGCGAGAGCGGGGTGTGGAAGCGGATGAGCCTCAACCCAGCTTCTCTCTTCTTCTCCAAATGAAGGCCATTCGAGGGTGCCCAGCGTCTTCACCTCACCTTGCGGCTTTCTTTTTCTTTTCTTTTTTTTTGCGGAGATTCTCTCTCACCTGCTCCCCACACTGCACTTCCACTCAGGTCACTGCTCTCAGGAGGTAAAAAGAATGACCTGATTTGGTGAAGTTCCGCGTTTGCCATTCGCCCTGAACTTCCCCGGGCTTTTCCACATGGGAGAAATGTCAGTTGTTTGATTTTTGAGAAGGAGGGGGGGATTTTCTAAAATAGCTACCTGCACTTCTTTGCATGTCTCAGCTGCACACACCAAGCCTGGTGAGATTGATTGCAATAGCAAGCAAAAAAGAGAGAATATGACAAGATAGATGTGTAAATTATCACAGTGATGGAGGCAATGATGCAGTCCCAGCACCTTCTGTTTTCTCTCCTATTCCTGAGAGGAGGGTGGGATGGAGGTGGAACGAGGGGAAAGAAGTGGGGAGGAGGTGGTGGTGGTAGAGAGCTTGGTACTTTCTTAGTTATTGGGTAGCAGCTGATTGGTCCCCTTGTCCCCATCTGGAGGTTTGTGTGGTATCAGAGTCCCCAGTGACCCCGCTGTCTGCCCTGTTTTGTCAGGAGACGGGCCTCACTAGCCTCATGGCTTATCCCCATCTGGGTTTCCTGGCCAAACTCTGATAACATAGCGTTGTAACATGTCAGGGTGGCCCCTTTTTCTCATCTTGCCCTGGGAGCACGGGGGGGGTAGAGGCTGGAGAGAATCGTGTGGATTGGGAAAGGAAGGCATGTGAAGACACGTTTTTGGGGGTTTTTTTTGGGTTTTTCATTTCGTTTTTTTTCCTTTTGGCCTTTATAATCTTATCTAAACTGATTACACTGCTGGTTTCACATGTTTACACAGAGAGCAGCACCTGTTCTGAGCTGCTCTGTTCTCAAGTCTATCTTTTTTTTGCGTGGGTGGGTTGTAGATATCGAGTATTTCTTTTAAAGTGACACGACGTCAAAAGTTAAAATTTACTTACTTCCTCTTTGCTGGACTGTTATTAAAAGACGACTTTTTCCAAGAATGAAGCAGCTTTCCTTTCCTGGATTTTTAGTTATTAGTATCACACTCTGATAATGACTACTTGCTCTTTTTGAACTGATTTTGCAGGGATTAAAGCTAAAACAGTGACCGAAATGATCATTCTCACTGCTATTATCTCACATTTTTCAGTGTTTTACACTGAAAAATGTGAAAGTTGCCTGTCAGCTTCCCAAATCCCACATTATCCCCCCAAAAAGTTGCACTGATAGAAAACAGAGAGAAGGTGAAAGCTTCTCATGTATCATTTATTATTTAAGTACTTGGTTAGGCCATAAAAGGCAACGTTAAACTTGAAATTAGATCAATTTTCGTGACTGTGCCGAAAAACATTTGACATGAACCTAAATCTACATATTTGGGGTTTCTTGGGTCTACTGACCAGTTGAGTAAGTCAGTGTTGTTAGTCCCCAGTAGCACCACTCTTTTCCTCCTCTTATTGCCAAATACAAAAATATAAATTAGTGCTTTAATTTGGTTACATTTGCTGTTAAATTCTTCTGTTTGAAAAGTTGCCGGCTCCACTCTGCGGGACCCTGTCAGGTCCAAATGCTTTGGAGAATGTCGAACTGGACAGCTGGTAAAGTAATGGGCGCTCTCACTGGGCTTCATGCCGAAGGCAGTCTCACTCCTCAGGTTGGGGGGTTTGGACGACGATGATGAGAGGCCGCGAGGAGCGGCTGAAAGCCAAACTCCCGCTGACAGAGTGCCATTGTGTTGGTGCTCCACGGCTGGCTGTGGCACCCTAATGATGATCGGGCCAGTGTTGGGGCATAGAGTGACGTTCGGGACAACGGAGCACAAAACCCTCGCGGGTCAGCTGGAGGAGTGCGGCCGTTGGCACAATGAGACAGAAAACGCTCCTGTGACTGTGGACAGGGGGGGGGATTGGAGGGGAGCGGTGGCTCAAAAAGTGAGGGAGCCGGGGACGGCCCGCTCCAGCCGCCAGCCGGCCCCTCCTCTGGGAACACACAGAGCCTAATGAGTTTGATAGTCTGCTGAGCTCCATAAATCATGCCATGCAAAACATTTCTCCTCTCTGAATAAAAGCATTTATCACCCTCTGTTTATTCACTCACTCTCACAAGATTGATTGGCTCCCAGCAGCCTGCTGAGCAATCAGCCGTGCCGATTCCTCTATTTCTCCCCCTCAGTCGTCTTCCTTGGTTTTTTTATTTATTTCTCTCCTCTGTCATTCAGTGGGGAAACTTCGGAAGGAGTGGATGAGAGAGACCATCTCCAGCGTCGGCATGGGGATGCTCAAGTCTGTCAAGGACTACGTGGACCCAAATAACATCTTCGGCAACAGAAACCTCCTCTAATTAAATAATTCTGTCCATCTTTAGCTAACCTTTTTGTTTTGTTTTCTGAAAGCATCTTGTGCATTTTTGATTAATAGATACTAAATGTGATTTCAAAACGGACACAGATCTTTGTCATCTACATCAAAAGTGTCATCCGGTGCCATTTAACGATTCACCCAGGCTTTTTCTTGCTTTGACTTTGTATTGCACTTAATCTGCTGTAACAATCATGTCGTCCATGTTGAAGCTCATTTTTACTCGTGTCACGGTCTCATCCTCCTAAGCCACAACTGTGATGCAACAAAAACCTTCATTTTTCATCACATTTTCTTTTGTTAAACTGCTAAAAATCCTTGCCAACATTAGCAGAAACAATTTGTCTACATGATCCTGTCTTGTGTGTGAGTCTGTGTGTGTGTGTGTGTGTGTGTGTGTATGAGTGTGTGTATGAGTGTATGCAATTGAGTGATTGGCATTTCTTTAGTGGTAACTTTCAGCTCAATGCGCTTTCTGAAGCTCTGTGCCTTTCTAAAGCTTTTGTCTGCCTACCCTTCTACTACACGTGTGTACATTGAAGTCCCTTTGTGAAGGTCATCAGTGTCTTCTGTTCATCTTTTCATGCCCTCCTGCCTTCTGTTGTACTGACCAATTGCCAAGAGACTTGTTTCTTGTGTATGCGTGCGTGTATGTACCACTGGTGATGAACTTTTTCGAGTTAAATGGGACCTATTATGTTCATATCTAGCCCCACCTTTCTATTCTTGGACTCTGCTCGAGTAGCTTGGCACGATTCACAGGTCACAATAATCGTTATTTATCTTCTGCTGGACCTTTGCGTATCTCATCTCAGCTAGCTCTCTTCTAATTGGCTGCCAGTCACAAACAGTAGTGTTCAGCAGCAGGTGGGTGGGGTTGATGTTATGGCAGCATTAACTACAATAATAAAACCATAATAGAAAATGATGAAAAAACATAATGGGTCCCCTCGAGTCTTTGTTCTGCACAACCAAAATTTCCCCACCCTTAGATAAACAGTATGAGGATAAAGACTGATGATTCCCAGTGTGTTTAGCGTTTGCACTGAAGGCATCAACCTTGCATGGTTTGTTGAGAGAGTGGGGGGAGGGGAAAAAGCCATTTCCATTATGACCACGTTTGCAGTGTAGGGCCTCTGGATTCTGGTGCTCACGTTGTACCAAAGACTCAACTCATCAGATTATGCGAGCATACTGTACATGTGTTTAATGTTATGGCAACTTACTGCAAAGTTAAACTGTATTTTTTAATTAGCATATGCAAAGATAACCATCTGAAGAGCTCTAAAATGTAAATATGTGTGACTGTTACACCTGCTAAAACTTTGTATTAAAACACAAGTCCATGTTTCACTTTTTTTTTTCTTCCTGCCATGTAGTTGGATCATTTGTGTTCACCCCAAAATTCTTCAGCTCGTCAAACAGTTGAATAGTGTATTGTATGAAAGGTTTTTTGGATCGGACCCTGTAATGTACTACATTTTGATACTGGACTTTTTGCTCTCATGTTGAAGTAAGGTCTACCTTTCCATTGTTAACTATGTGTCATGTTTTCCAGGATCCCTGTGTGCTTTAAGGTCAAAAGAAATCCCCCAAAAGTAAAAAGATTTGTTCAGGACCCGCCCCCAAACTCTTATCTGACCTTCTACCCTCTTGTGTCAAAAATATGCGAGAGCTTGTTTTTGAATGTTATGGCTGTACCCTTTTTGGTCAATTTTTCCACTTCTCTTAACAACATAGTAACTTCTAAGTATGTTTTGTCAATGCTGTTTGTGCAATAAATTAAAGTAAAACTTCCCAGTTGTGAATTCTTTATTATTTTCTTTGGCTTTTTGTATGCACCCCACATTGTTGCGAGAGCAGAAAACTTTTTCCTCATACATCATCTTAAATTTAGCCCTTCAGTTCTTGTCTTTATTTATACTGTCAGGCTGTTAGGAAGGTCAACGAGAGCCTGAGAGCAGCTTTTTTTTGTTTGCTCAGCCTTTACCTGCACCATGCGGAGCTCAAGGTAAAACAGCAGAGCTTAACAGAGCCTGTCTTTTGCTTCCTGGCAGGCTTTTATTTTTTTATTATTTTTTTTCTACGCACAGGCTCATTTGGGAGTCATCTTCACCCACACAGCCACCCACACACACTGCTGGCTGACGTCAGCACCACCAAGATCAACAGCAATCGAGCTCAGACTTGAACTGTGAAATGCGCTGCAGCTTTCACAGTCTAACAGTCTAATGCTCAGAATTATGTGTGAATAGATATATCAGATAAAAGACACAAGGGATCCATAATTAAATTTAGGACTGACGGTCATATTTCCCGATATGATTAGATTGATATATTTTGCAGGTAATCACTATCTTTTCACTAATATCTTTACATCTTTGTAACCTGACCAGTCTAATGTTTGTTGTGCAATTTCCACTCTTTACAAATTCAAAGATTTCTCAATGAAACGCCCTATCTACTGAATTTCATTGAGAGATACAGTTTGTGTGCAAGGATGCATTTGTCCACATGAGGTCAGTACTGCACTGAAGAAATCAGATGTAAAACGGGAGACAGTGTCCATGGTGAGGAAAATTTTAATAAGCATCTCTGATGGACTATTTGGTACTGTGCAAAAGTCTTGGGCTGCCTCTTGTTTTCTTGAATTCTTTTGAAAGTCAATATTCAGTAACGTCTTCAAGCAACATAAAGAAGTCCAGACGCTTTTTTCTTTCCAAGCTTTTTAGACTACCACTGATAGTGTTTTTCTATCTAGGTATTGGAAGAGTCTTTGGGATTGTTGTCAAACTGAAAAATGACGCCACTGCCCATCAGAAGCTCCAGAAAGTTGATTCTGTTTATCTGGACATTGCGTTTTCAGTGGGAGAAACTTTTGATCAACCATCCAAGTCTCTGCGTTTTCATCTGAAAATGCAGCATCCAGATAAACAGTATCAACAGTATCTGTACGAGTGAGCATCTATCAATACAGGCCAATCAGATGCTTTTCTGATGTTATTGCATAATGGATCAAAACCTTTTTTTGTGTGTGTTCATAATTTCATCAAAAGACGCCAAGGTCACTGGCTGAAATAAAGCCACAAACCATGACAGAGACTCCCACCTTTCCATTTACACCATTTCTGTTGATGCTTTAATCAACATTAAAGCTCAACTAATGGGCCAGATACAGATCATGTTTCAGGTCATGATTTCTTTGTATTTCTTAAGGATATGACTTTCAGACACTGTTCATTTTCTGTAGATGTTTTTTAAGGCCTGTCATTTCCTCTTTTGTCCTCCACTTGTTTTTTTTTAAGGGCACACTCCACACCATGCTGAGATATGCAAACTTTTCAGCTAATAGCTCTTTGAGAATCACCTTGTTGAGGCAAAAATACAGTGTTGTGTCTGTCAGACTGTTATCGTTGACATTTTTTTTAGATTTACTAAAGAAGTGGGAGCAAATTATGTGTTTTTGTGCCTAAAGATACAATTTAAAATGAGTTCTTTGCTAAGTGTCTGCTATCTGTAGACACAACACTTGTTCATCCCTCGAGTTAGGTGCTTCTTTTACACTTAGATGATTCATAGGTCAGATTTAAGTGGTTTTTGGTTTTGCAAACAAAAAAAACATACAGTCAGGTATAAAAACTGGACTGAAAATGTGTGAAAAAGCAGCCAGTCTCCAAAGAAAAGCTTTGAAAGACCTTCAAAAAATCTGGAAAACTACTGCTCAAGACTACTTTAAGAAGTTACAGGAAATTCTGACTCCTTGGAAGCAAGATATAAAGAAATGAGACATGGCTTTGGCACAGAACTGTAAAAATGCACCATTAAAATGAAAGGTCAGTTAAAATCTCGTTGAATTATTGATTATTAAAAAGGCTATCTAACAATGAAATATAGTTTGTGAGCCTTGTATGTAGTAACAGGTAATAATTTACATAGAAGCAGCGTTTTACTGTTTGTTTGTTTTTAAATAAATGCATAAAATAAAATGCATACTTGACAGCAGCGCAGCTTCAAAATGGATCACCACAATCAGAGTCAGAGCAAACCAGAGCACGTGTAGCAGCAGTTTTTATTTAAACTCTCAACAGAAACATCGCTCATTTGCCTTTCCATGCCTTAGTTTTCTTTCAGTTTAGCCTGCCGTGAATAAATCCAGAGTCCAAACTGGGAGAAAGTAGAAACACAAAAAGCACGTTACACTGCGGGAAAAAATGAGTAGAAGTTGGCCCTGCACGGAGACCTAATTGGAAAATAGAACAGTGATATTCATACGTAAATCACATAACATGATGCAATAGAATTTAAGTCATGCATTTCCCATGAGATAAAATGTTTACTGATGAAAGTACGAGGTATTTCTTGGCTCACTTATTTGCTACATCCTTAGCAAGTGGTTGAATTTAATACTGCATAAAGACATGCGATTTCTTTAAAAAGAACAAAACAAACAAAGAAAAAACAAACAATCTGGCTGACTTCAGTTTAGCTCTTCAACTAAAATACAGAGCACACAGATCCATGCCACACAATGTGCACAGTCACGTTGTAAAACTCCAATTAACAAAAGCTACAACACAATTCATAAGGCAAACCCCCACCCCAAAATAACACTTATTATAATTGTTTGATAATTTAAATAATGTCCAATTTAAAGCCTAATTTAGAAATGGCGTCATCACATAGTTTGTCCATAGGGTGGCTCCAACTCCAAAGCTCTCAGGACTGTGCAGGAGCACAAGAGTATACATCTCAGCTGGGTATAGACTGTATATAAAAGATAGATGGGGAAGCCAATGTGGAAGTTCTTTAAATAACCAGCAGGGGGCAGCACTGACTGTCAAAAGAGCTGCAGTTGTATATATATTTACAGGAAAAATGCCCTGGGCTCCCTTGCTCTTTAAGCTCAGCATATACTTCCCTGATTATTTTAGTATTTTAATTAAAATTATCATTAGAATTTGAAAGTAAGTGAGTCACGTGTTGTTAGCCGATGACTGTGTGGTGTCTCTCAGTTTCAAAGTCAGATCTTCTTCTTCTTCATTTCACTAAAACAATACGTTTAAGACTTAAGTCGCACATTAGTTTACTAACTGAAGGGTGGCTTAACGAAGGCTCTGTCCATCCTTTATATACAGTCTAACCGTGGAGTCAAGTGGGGTCGTGATAGTAAGTTTTTTGCTATTTTATGAAATATTTAGTGATGTTAAAAATGAATATATAACTGACATTTAACTAACATATTATGTTTCAATATCTTCAAAGAATATCACCCAATATATAGGTACTGAAAGTTTTTACTTTCTCATTTAAGTCCCAACAATATATTAATGACTGGGCTCTAATTGAAACAAAAGTTTGTGACTACAAGTGATATGTCATTGTCTCAGGAATTTTTTTAAATAAAATGCAGTATACAGCTGGTAGCATTTGTGAAGTTTAGAAAAGGCCAGAAATTAGATTGAAACGTTTTACATTTTAGGAAATACCCTTAACTGCTAGACAATAAACAATGAGAAACAGCAATGCTATCTGCTTCCACGTGTTTGCAGTCTCTATGCTATCTAAGCTCTGATCACCTGCCTGTTCAACAGATAACCACAAGAGTGGTAAGGATCTTCCTTTCAAACTGATTGGCTATAAGCAAAAAAGGGCAGCTCTTCAAATGTCCAACAATGGCTTTTGATATTAAAGAATATTTTATTTTTAGGTAACAGCTGCGAGTGTTAAATTAGTAGATGTTAAGATTTTTCCTGCAGAAGTTAATATAATATCAGAACAGCTTCATCAAGGCACGTTTGTGTGTGTGTGCGCGTATGTAAGTTTGTATGTGATAAGTCAGGCCCTGCATTTATAAAACTAGGCAAATATATATTTAAGTTTATGGGGGTCAAGATGTTAATTGCAGTCACTGGTTTTTACAAATTATGGCAAAAAAAAATACAGCGTGGTTTGACACACTATCTAAGAACCTCAGCACGGAGGCCATGCATGTTTCATTAGGATCCTAAAACAAGGCACAGGAAAAGAGGGAGTGGGAATTCAATTTGCATTGCAAGCACTGTCACAGGTCCTTGTTGTTCCTGCACCCCGTTGGCCTTCAGAAAGTCTACAGCCACATTACAATCCTTACTCTTTTCAATAACTCGGTAGCCTATTTACAGATTTACAAATAATAATAATAATAATCTGTTACCCTGGACAAAAAGAATGACCAACAAGAGGGTGCCAAAAGCAAAACAAACCACAGCAGAGACAAATATTCCTCCCCTATATTCTCCACGACTGTGCTGAAAATCTGTACACTGCCGTGGAATTGTTGGTGTTAGCTCACTGGCTGACATGTTGACACAGTGGTTTGAGTTTCCTTTCTGACGTGGCGTCATCGGCTGATTTGTAGTTGCTCTGACAAGCTTGCCAAACACAGTTCTGTCACCCTTCAGCACAGGGAATCTGAAGGCAGCAGAAAAACCTCTATGATAGCGCCACACTCAAGTCTGAAGCTCATCCCTAGTAGCAAAAAGCGAACAGGAGCAGAGCCCATGAATCTCTGCATGCACTGCACTTCCTCCTTTGCAAACTGCATTTTGGAGGAAATAAGCCTAGGAAATCAGCTCAGAAGCTCGGCAGCAGAAGCTAACTAGCTGCTTTAGATGGTGATCCGTCAGCACTGCCACTGCAGCAGAGTGTGCTGCCAGTTTTGGCCACAGTGCAGCCACTGGCTTCTGTGCTGTCACCACTGCAGGGGCTCGCGGGTGCAGAAACACTCTGGCCACGTTGTCTCTTCCTGTTCAGTTCCT